TTCCCACCTTAAGGTGCCCAAGGGGCCCGAGCAGATCTGTCTTTGCAAAATGCTGCAGCAGGCACCAGGAGAAGGTGTCCCTTCCAAAGATACTTCCTCATCCTGGCCCCTGGCACCTGTGACTGTCACCTTTTTTGGAAGAAGAGTGTCTGCCCATGTGATGAAGGATCTCAAAATGAGAGGGTCCTGTGTCATCGGAGTGGACATTGATCTAGTGACAAGTGTCCCTGTGAGAGACACAAGAAGTCAGTCGTGCAAAGACAGAAGCAGAGGTATGGGAGTTCCAGAAGGGTATGGGAGTCCCCTGCCCGGACCTGTTTTCCTCCTACTTCCTGTTTCCTGTTGCGGCCTCCCATAGGCTGAGCCAGCCAGAGACCAGAGACATGGTAGGAGCACCAGGCACACACAGGTAGCTCGTGGGTGCAGAGCAGAGTGGAGGAGCAGGTCAGTTCTCGGGAGACTGACCACTAGAGAGTGATGGCCTTGAGGCCAAGTGCTAACTAGTGTGTGACAAGTGCTGTCACTCAGGTGGACAGAGGAGCACAAGGTGCAGTCCCCCCTGTTCCCCCGTTCCTGTGAGCTAGGGTCCCCGTGCACTTAGGAACAGTCCTCCGTGGGTCGAGGTTGGGAGGTCGGATCCTCCTGCATCCGGTGAGGGCGCATCTGCCCCTCCCCTCCCCTCCTCTCTGGGTGACCTTTGGTGTGGCCCGGGTGGTGGGTATCGCCCCATCTCAGCCTCGTCTCGTGCTCACAGAAGCCCCATCAGGATGGTGGCCACGTCACCATGGTGGCTACCGCAGTCCTAATGAGCACATTTTAACTGACCATCCAGTCTCCAAATGGAGTCACCACAAGGGGTGCTAGAAGGTGGGACTCTGCCCTGTGAATTTGGGAGTGGACCAGGAAGCAGGTGTGTGGCTGGAGGGACACACCCTTCATACTAAGAAACCTTTTGTTATTTTAATTTTTTTTCACTCCAAGCCCCCAAAGACAGCACACACAGCCATGTGGCAGCCACACCGTCTCTGTGTCTTTAAGTGAAAGGACTGTGGGGCCCACTGGTTCCCTGGAGCTACTGTAACAAATTACCTGAAAC